ATATGGTTCATGGGGTCATGAAGAGTCGGACACGACTTAACGACTGAACAACAACAATATTGATAGGTTAGGGTCTGATTTATGAATTAACTATTTAAGGAGACAATCTAAAATATAAAAGTAGTTAAAAAAAAGTTAGAATGTTTTATTATAAGGCTCCAGAAAAATTTACCAGATTGCTTGAAAGTCCTCTTCCTCTACCCTCTGTTAGAAATGATTTAATTGACATGCTGGCAAATAGCACACATTGGCAATTCAACTGCTACAATCCTGGCATAGTTTAAAAATACCTTTCCCTTACTTTATGGCCTCCCTAGCTGCCCATAGGTTTCGATCTGGACATGGGAAGAGATGTCTCTCCATGGGTGTGAGAAATCAGGGAGATGGCAAACTGCTGAGAAATGCTGGTATAATGAAAACAGGACACTGTCCCACACCCCTTACAAAGATAATACAAGAATTCATATTGATGGTTCTTCGCATCTGTAGGATTAACTAAGCTATCACCCTAAACTATTGTGCTTTATCAACAACAGAATTCATCTTGATTCAAAAGCTTATTTTCCACTATCAGATAGCTTAATATCAGCCCTTGGTGGAAGTGTTTGAAGCTTTTTATCATGAAAAGCTTTAGCCCAGTTGGCTCTCCCCCAGGTTGATAAAGGAACAGTTAAATCTGAGAGGTAGCCCTAGCAAATGCAAACACAATATTACACATAAGTACACACACCCAGTCATAGGCTACAGCTCAGATACCACGTTTTACTCTGAGCGATGATTGTATTGAGTGAAACAGAAGCTGAGTAAATAACCCCCATGCTAAATATAATCAATAACAGAAAACAAACACAACTAATCGTGTTGTGCTTTCCTATGAGTGCAAGTCCTCATATATAAGCGCGACATCCACTGCTATGGCTTTGGGGAGGTGCTTTCATCTTCTAAGAGATCAGATGTTTCTATTTGATTTCATCTTATTGTTGCTTCTTGTGGTGAGCACATCACTGTTCATGTCTTTGGCAAGACAGTGTTGGGTTCTGCAGATCAAACCAAAAGATGTGAACCTTCCCACAGGAGAATGATATTTACACAGAGGCCTGCAAGCTATTTGCTCTCTCTGTGTGGCAGGGGACAGATTATGGATTTAATTACAAAATGGTAGGCAAATAGGGATGGAGAAGAGGTAGGCACAAGGAGGGAAAGAGAGAGAGAAACACTATTAACCTTTGGGTCTTAGCCTTGTGTTTCAATGACCCACACCTTTGTTAAGATTGTCATTGGAGGGCGTATGATAGATGCTGGAGCTGATTCTTTACTCAAACTGAAAAACTCCCCTACAGTATTTTCAGCAAGGTTTCTCAGCATCCTTATTTACAGGCCCTTCCTGAAAACATCCCCTTGGGAAGATTTTCAAGGGCTTCTTTTAAGATGCATAAAAGTGCACAATTTCCTCTTCTAGAATTCTGGCTCTGCCCTTTGTTGTAGAAATTGGCTGTGGATTGCCCTATGCCATGACAGTGTCTTCTGACATCTTTTTTTTTTCTTCCTTTCCTCAACCTGAAAGGGATGCTTTTAAGACAAGAATGTCAGCTGTTATACAAGGAATGAGACTGCCTCAAACATAGAGGCCAAATTGCATTATATTGTTCAAGGGCCCCAAGGAAATATTACCCTGTTTCTGTTTTATGTCTTTCTGACCTACTTAAAAATAGTTGCACAGATTGAGCATGGATTTGAACATGGAATATAGATTTGCAATGAATGTTTTCACCGGTTTTCATTCTGATATCTTGGTGGAGTTGCATGTCAACGTGGCCTGAGGGGAGTGAGGAAGCTAGACTTAGTGGTTCTTGGCTAGTCCTGTCACCCAGACTTTTGCAGCCCAAATCTGGTTGTCCTGTTACTGACAGGTTTGTGTTGGGGCCTAGAGAGTCCCTTTAGGCTCCTGGAAAGAATGCAGAATTGAATCCTGAACTTTAGTACCAAAATGCATTCTGAATCTCCATATTTTAAAAAGTTATCATATTGCAATCAATCAATCAATCAATCTCCGTATCTTAAAAAGTTATCATATTGCAATAAACAAACAAATAAATAAATAAATGATCTGCACCTATAAGAACTGATGAGTGAAACCAATCTTTATTGCTCATGAGTGTGAATCCACTTGAATGGTATGTCCAGAAATAATGAATGATGTTAATATTATAGTAAAGTTTAAAAATCAAATAATTCACTTCCTATTTTTTAAATTGGCAGAAATGTCTGGCACAATGAAGAAGCCTTCAGTCGTGATATGGGAAGAGGAGACAGAAATGTCAGAAGAATATGAAAGAAAAGTGCCTCTTAAACATAAGAATAGCTTTTTAACACTCAGTAAGAGGAACTGGGAAGTTTATAAACAGTCTTCTGTTCTGTAGTGTGTTGGATTGTATATACCTGCGTTAACATTTTATCCCTGTAAACATTTGCAATTCAACTCTAAGTGAATATGCATAAGGACTACAATTTTATTCTTTAAAATTTTGTACACTGGAATACAAGAAATGGGTATTGTCTGATTAAGACAGCTTGTAGAAGTCTCAGGGGTCGGCACTGTAAAGCTGGCACCTAAAGGAAGTACATTTTATTCAAATGTGAGGAGGCTGGAATTCAGGAACCATAAACTCAAACATTTGGGCATATCACAGCTTATGGGATTGTGATGTATGCTGCATGACCCTTTACATGCAAAGAGAAAAGTCTTACTGTGTTCAGTAGATCTTATTCTCACTGCATATAAGAATTTGGTCAGTATTCTTTACAACAAAAAAGCTGCATGTCTCTGTCCTTCACACAGACAAGTATCAAGTTTCTCATGAGCCCATAGTTTCAACATACATTCACAACTGAGTACTACAGGATATCATATTGCACTCATGTTGCCCAGTATGTTACTTTCTGGTTAACCATAAGGACTGGCATGGACTGTGACGCTCTTGAATTGCAGAAACAGAACTTCAGATTCCTCAATTAGAGAAATGTGTAGATACCCTCCCACTAGTTCCCATTTGCTTCAGCAACACACTATTCTCTTGCTCCACTTCCTCTGAAATTAATTCACCAGCTGCAGATAGAAAACAAATGCTTATGGCAGCTAGAGAGGAGTGAGTTTTACAGAGACTATCACAGCCTCTTCTCTGATCAGAGATGGAAAGCTTTTGCATTAGCTGTTCATATCAGCACTAGATGGAGGAGGAATGTAGTGGAACAATGTAATTAGGCCAGACTGAACTGTATATCTATTGAATAGTAGTAGTAGGTTTTGTGTGTGTGTGTGCGCGCGTGTGCACACCTGCATGCCTTTGAGTCAGTGTTGACACCTGGGGACTGCCTGGACAAGTTCCTGCAGTTTTCTTGGCAAGATTTCAGAAGTGATTTGCCATTGCCTACTTCACAGGGCTGGGAGAGAGTGACTGGCCCAAGGTCTCCAGCTGGCTTTGTGCCTAAGGTGAGACTAGAACTCACGGTCTCCTAGTTTCCAGCCTGATGCCTTAACCACTACACCAAGCTGGCTCTCCCACTGTTTTAACTTGTCTGAAAATAAATGGCATGGCATTGCACCCCACTCAGCTCCACCCCATGTATATTTTTCTGACTGATTGATTGATTAATTATGTGCCCTCAAGTTAGTGTCAACTCTAAAAGACCCTGCTGAGATTATATACTTTGGCATATCCTCCTGGCGTTCTTTGCTCATCCATCCCAGGAACACCCCACTGCCCTGATGAGGCAGCACAGTAGGACTTGAGGAAGGGTGCATATTTTTCTACTTGGACATATTTTTGGCTATATGATGAAGGATAGAGGAAAATGAGTTATTTACTGGGCCCTCTTCCAGATATTCTTGGACTGCAGTTCCTGTTGTTACTCCCCACCAACTATGAGTTCAAGAAAATCCTGCATTCAGATGTTAAGAATCCCTGGAAGTTATGTATCCTACAGTCTATGTGGGAACTCTGATCCCAATATGGTTAGAACAAGAGTAGGCAACCTTTGTTGCTCCAGATGTTACTAAATTACAACCCCCATTTCCCTCAGCATTGGCCAGGCTTCCTAAGGATACTGAGAATTGTAGATTCACAATATTTTGGAGGGGCACAGTTGCTTATTTTAGAATATACTACTATTGTTTCCTCCCTCACTGTCCTTGTTATGACAACACCTGCCTTGTACAAGTTGGAGAGTGTAATCTATCCACTAAGATTTTCACATGATTTAGAAGCTTGGGCAATCCTATTTTTAAATTGCTCTGGAAGCCTCTAACTTTCCTCTTTTGAAGACCATTGACACTATGTAGGTTGGGTAGCTCACAAACAACATTAATTCCCACTCCCTACCACCCACTACTGCCTCTAACTACCTCCAGCAGTGAGGCAAAGCAGGGTGGGGAAAGCAGGCAGATATGGTGCCTGGAATTCTGTCTAATCACATGAACAGAAGGGAGGAACAAAGGGAGCTTAAGAATGGAGCAGTTGAGAACATTCCAAGCCACTGGCCACATGCTTCTTTCAGAGGGCTGCATTGAGGGATTTTTTTTCTGAATTTTTTTCCTCCACAGCCCCCTTGGCCTATTTTCAAACTTCATCTTTCTTTCGTTGGCTTCTTTCCCCACATCAGACTAGGTCCTGTTCTGTTCAGGAGAATTACCCTGCTGACAGAGAGAGAGACAGATGGACAGAGCCCTGAGCCCCTTTATATAACTTCTATCCAGTGTTCCATTGGGTTTGAAAGAATAAAAACCCAAGCAATTTGCCCACCCCAACAATAACTGCTCATGAAGAAACACTCTAAGGATATTCTATTTTCTGGTTTAAACCCATTTAAACCCATGGCACCCTTGATTTTTTTTTTGGAATGATTATGTCCCTTCAAGTCAGTGTCAACACTTAGTGACCACATAGTTAGATTTTCTCCATGATGATTTATTTTATTTAAAACATTTATTAGCCACCCTTCTTGTACCAAACTCTGGGCAGCTCACAACCAAAATGTGAGATCTGTTTCTAACCTGGTCTTTCAGGCCTTCTTAGAGTGCATACATCACCACTGTAACTGAGTCCATCCATCTTGCTCCTGGTCATCCTCTTCTTCTCTTTCCTTCTTTCCACCATTAGAGTCTTCTGCAGAGAGTTGGGTCTTTGCATAATGTGTCCAAAGGAGGATAATTTGAGCTTGGTCATTTGTGCCCCAAGTGAGAACTCTGGGTTGATTTGTTCAATGATCCATTTGTTTCTTTTCTTGGGTGCCCACGGTATTCTCAGGAACTTTCTTCAACATGGCCCCCTCACAACCACTAAATAAAAATGAAGTTTTGCCCTGGAGCTGAACACATTTCTTTGAGGATGATAATTTTTATTTGAATGTCTATAAATGAAAAAATAAACTCCTTTGACATATACTGTACCTGGTCTAAACACTGAGCCCATGGAAAGGCTGATATAAGGAAGGCCATCATCCTATGCCCATATCAGTCAGATGCTAATGTTGAGCCTGTTTGCCCCTGCCCCACTGCCTGTTCCTGGCTCTTCACCCCAACCTTCCCTTGTAACTGTACCACTGGCTACCTTGAAACCATTCTCCAACCT